CCCGCACCTACTACAGCCCCTATCCCTCCCCAGCACCTACTACAGTCCCTATCCCTCCCCAGCACCTACTACAGCTCCTATCCCTCCCCTGCACATACTACAGCTCCCTATCCCTCCCTGGACCTTTCTACAGCCCCTATCCCTCCCCGCACCTTCTACAGCCCCTATCCCTCCCTGCACCTTTCTAGCCCCTATCCCTCCCCCTGCACCTCTACAGCCCCTATCCCTCCCCTGCACAAGTCTACAGCTCCCTAACTGGCCCCTATTCCCCTGCACCGCCTACAGCCCCTATCCCTCCCCTGCACAGGCCCCTATCCTCCCCTGCACTGCCTACAGCCCCTATCCCTCCCTGCACCATCTGACCCTATCCTCTCCTGCACCTTCTACAGCCCCTATCCCTCCCTGCACCGTCTACAGCCCCTATCCCTCCCCTGCACCGTCTACAGCCCCTATCCCTCCCCTGCACCGTCTACAGCCCCTATCCCTCCCCTGCACCATCTACAGCCCCTATCCCTCTCCTGCACCTTCTACAGCCCCTATCCCTCCCCTGCACCCGTTACTGCCGCTAGTACCCCTGCACCCACTAAAGTCACTAACCTCCCCTGCATCCACTGCCCCTCCGCTGAACCCAATACAGCCACTATCCCCCATGCAACCACTTCTACTATGATTTAGTGTTGGAAATGATTAATTCCCCCCAGCTTTGACTGTGGTATCTTATGTATCCCCTATGTATTTTTCCTAGAGTCGCCACTACTTTAAACATACACCTGAAATAATGCAAATCAATGACTAAATAAGAAAGTTTATTAATATAAATGTGAATGAAGATTTGCATGAGCTAAAATAGATAGATGGAAAATTCCACACATACCAACAGTGGAAACATTGGAAAACCCTTTATAGACAAAACACAAAAAAATATGCCTTCTATATGACTTTCCATGCAACTTTCTCACGCATATTGTACAGATAATCTGTCAAAAAGAAACACATATATAAGATCTGCCAGTATGTAGCAAAGATTGCCAAGCCACCAGTAACGGAGAAATAATAAAAAATAAAAATAAAAAAAGAATAACATAATAAATAACATTCTTATAGAGTTATATTCTAGTTTAAATAATAATTAAAAAAAAAACTTGAAAAAATAAAATCAGACCTATGACTGGTCCTGCTTTAAATAAATAAATAATAAAGAACAAAACCTATTATCTGAAAGCAGGTACAATACAAGTTACCCATCTAGTCTGCATGGTGCCAGTCTAAAAAAAGCACCAGTATTATTAAATATTTTGTTTTGTTTTTTTGTGGTTCCCAGGTCTGCCATTGTAATTATTGCAAAACTCCTAGAGCCTGTTCATCATGCCAGAGTGCACAGATGAAAGATCTATACCTTTATGCATTCCAGATAGAAGCTACTTGAACATCATATTTCTGGGATAAAGGTCTCTGTAGGCAACATATCAGAATTACTGAATTATTGAGAAGAGCTTGCAAGGCATTGTTGTGGGTTTCGCTGCATGTTCTGTGCACACCCACATATTTTGCAAGCTTTTCACCTGTTTGATTTTAATTGTTCATTAAAAATTCTGTTACTCTTTCTTTTCCTGTTGACATTGACAACATTTCTTCTATTAACTACTACTAATAGTAGTTAGACTACTTAAACTTTCATTCTATATTTGTTGTCTATTGACTTTCTAGGGAACAACATGGTAAAGCCGCATTATTTATTATTTTTAGGTCATATCTGTTGGGCTGATAACTAGGATTAAGCTCTATGATCAGTATTCACATATATGAAACCATGTGAGATTCAATAGAACTCCAACTGAGCTTGGTAGAAACACTTTTGCATGTGTTACTCTGCTAAAAAAAGTCAGCATAAACCTTTCAACACCAAATTTGAATTAAAGACAGCTTTGGTTAGCGTTGCAAAGAAAGAACTGCTGTTACTATAGAAGCATGCATTATGTCCTATAAATCTATACCTGGAGAAGAGTTGGGAGATTTTGAAAATGCTTCTGGTCTAGGAGCCACAGGTTGTACTGGCCGGGTTTGTTTTGCTGCAAGTTTTCGTAGGCTGCCTTTTCTCTTCTCAAACATCTCCTGCATGCTCTCTTGCTTCTGGTAAACTTTGTGGACATGTTCCTTGTAAATAACAAAATTAGACCCTTCTCTAAAATGCTCAAAAGCAACAGAAGTCAACATTGCAAACTATGTATAATTTATTAATTATACCTTTAGCTCCTGTGTCAGGATATCTTCATATTGCCTTAGAATTGTAGATAAATCTCCGATGGCATTATCTGTGCCAGTCTCTAGGAACCTTTCAATCTCTTGAAGGGCTGATTCTGCTCCATCTTGAGATTGGAATTTATCCACAGGCTGTGAAGCTAATAAGTATATCCCCTCATCACACCACTCCATAGTCTAAAAAAGGAAGCAAAATACATTGAAAGTTGGGCACATCATAATCAAACATGTTTACTTTGAGAATTAAAAATGTAAGATATAAGCAATGATAAAATAGGTTAGCAAAATGCTACAGCTTTGATTAATGTGTTCTACAAGAAAGCTAATATTTCAGTGTTTGCCACCTTTTATTTTATGATGCATATGGCTGTAAAGAGTTAAAGAGTAATACATGCATTTCACCTTTCTTTATTATTGGGTCATGTGTTATTATATCTTCGGAGCACCATAGGTACTTTTAAATTATCACAAACAGCGAGAACACTACACAAATCCAAAAACATTGCAGCTCTAATTATTAAACATCACTTCTGTGCACTGATTTCTGACACTATAAAATAGGCTGAGACAAATATCAGAAAAATGGGACAGCAGCAGCAGCCAAGGATTTTCAGCTGTGGTCCGTTCCATCTTCCCAGGAAGCCTCCTATATAAGGGCAGTGATTTTGGTTTATGAAAAGTAATTGCAGAAGCCAGTCCACAACAAGAAAAGGGTACTTCAATTGAGCCATTTGAGGCAAGGCAGCTGCATGTTGATCTTCCCACTTCCCAATGCCATTTTCAAGATGGAGAAAACCAATGGAAGGTGTGTTTATCTTTTGAACTCTTTCTTCAGCACATCAATTAATGGTATAATTTGATGTAGATAAGCTGGTCATCCATTTTTTTAATTACATATAAACTTTAATATACTGGAGCAATGTGTTAATATTCTGTCCAGGTGGAACAGTGCCTTTAATGATAACCTACAAGGAATGACATGTAACCACTGACACAAGGACCAGACTTGCCTTCTCCAAATTTCTATGGAGCTCTAATGATTGGTTAAGATGGTCCTGTCTCTCCTTAAGTTGCTTGCTGGTGGTCTCACAGAGATGGTAAACTTCATTACATTTGGGAAGGATTGAGTCCACGGCATAGTGATTGATTTGGATAAGGTGATCCCCTTCTCTTGCTAAGTCATAGGCAGACTTCAAAACTTTCTAAAAAAAAAAAAAATCACATAGTATTCATGTTAGATGAATAATTTATCAAAAGACACAATTCTTGCTGAACATTAGCATGATCTAGTTAACAAATGAATCATGGATCAAGATCACTACATGAGCACCTTTAAGAAGTCTAAAGAAAAGGGATTGCATTAGCAAGCTGGGTTCCTCTATGTATTTGTTTGTCCATATTGCTTCCATGGCATTTGTCATATGGTCTTCAATGCTGCAAAAATGCTGAATAAGGTTTAACTTTCAAATTAAATGTACTTAAACAACTAACCCCCCCCCCCCTTCCCCCACCAACAAAAAACACAAAATAAAAAACACTTTTATAAGGCACAAGGATACAATTTAAAAGTCCTCACACTAGTGCAAAATTATTTCTAAAAGATGTTCAGGAGTACATTTTAAAAATCCAAAGGGTGCCATGAACATACAACACAATACTTTTGTTCCATATTCCAAATGCTATATCAGTAAATGCGATTGCTTTACTTAGAACAGTGGCTAGATTTGGCACTGCATAGACAAGTGATCTACTTTTCCAGGGAGCCATCACAGCTTTTTGGGAATATGTTTTCTCATTGAAACAAAGTCTGAGTAAGAATTACAATTAATATAAAAAAATACAACATTAAAGAGATGTGTATGCATATAACATGTGCCTTTGTGCATTCCTATAATCAAATTTACCTAGTGAATGGAATGCCACCTGCTTGAACCATGTATTTAGTTGTCACAGAGACATAGCCAAGACACCAAAAGTCAAAATCCTCTTACTTGTGATCTTTCTTCAAAGCTGCTGAGATCCTTCAGAATATGTTCCACATGTGAGCAACTGTTTCCCACATCATTGAACGCTGCTAACCTTTCTTTAATACCATCCAGGGCAGTTTTGATCTAATAAGATAATGATCTCATTAAATATCTTAATCCAGGACTAAAACAATAAAACAATAAATACAATATAGATGAATAATAATTGAAACAGTATTCAGGCGCAGTAAAATTAGTTACCTTATTCATTATTGGGGTAAATTGAACATAATCATGTTAAAATGCAGTGATTTAGAAATAATTGAATCTGAACAAAGGACCAGCAAATATAATATCATAAAGTCTAATGGTATCCTGTTGCATTTTAGTCATTGTTGCTTTGTTAGCACTAAAGTTACTCATTGATTGGTAACCAATATTTATTGTATATAAAGGAAATGCATTGGAAATAAGAAATATCTCATCCAATCCAGTCTTCTTAAAGCAGCAGGGTATTAATAAATTATGTAATGGACTACGTTCATAAAAAAACAAAAAAACCCAAAACAGAATCTCCGTGGGATTCATTCAGTAAAAGAAAAAAATACCGTATATACTCGAGTATAAGTCAAGTTTTTCAGCACATTTTTTGTGCTGAAAAACCCCCACTCGACTTATACTCGAGTTAATGTCTGTATTATGGCAATTTATATTGCCATAATACAGACCAGGACCGCCGGGCTCATTACAAGCCCGGCGGTCCTGTTAGGGGCTGGCAGAGAGCTGTTACTTACCTTTCCTGTCAGCTCCCTACTCTCTCCCCCGTTCAGGTAAGCTCCCCTGTCAGCTCCACTGTAAATCTTGCGAGAGCCGCGGGGAACGCTCCACGCGGCCGCGAGACTTACAGTGGAGCTGACCGGAACGGAGGAGAGAGAAGGGAACTGACAGGAGCTGCAGGAAAGGTAACAGCTCTCTGCCAGCCCCCCTCCTGCACAGCCCATCCAATGGACCACCAGGGAATGAGAGCCCCCCTCCCTGGTGAGCCAACAAGCAGGGAGGGGGGACAAAAATAAATATAAATAAAAAATTAAATAAGAATATAATAAAAAAATATTTATATATATATATATATATATAAAAAAATAATAAATATTTTAAAAAAAATGCCCTACCCACCCACCAAGGCTCTGCATCACATATACACACTGCACTCATACACACACACACACTGCATTCATACACACACACTGTAAATAAATATTCAATTAATATAATTTTGGGGGGATCTAATTTTATTTAGAAATTTACCAGTAGCTGCTGCATTTCCCACACTAGTCTTATACTCGAGTCAATAAGTTTTCCCAGTTTTTTGGGGGTAAAATTAGGGGTCTCGACTTATATTCGGGTCGACTTATACTCGAGTATATACGGTAATTAAAAAATATCCCAATTTAAGTTAATGGAATTAAGAGTATTATATTTATTTGTACAAGTGATTTAATTCATTGATATACAGCTCTCGGGAGAAACGTAATAAATAAATGTACATAATATATGGTAAATAAAAAGATCTTAATTTACTTTGGCCTTTCTTGACCATATTCTTAGACATTGTGTTCTTAACAACAAATTGTAATATTTTTGTATGATGCTCTACCATAAAAAACACGCATGCACTTTAGTGAGCAAAGCAATTCAAATAGAGTTCTGCTTAGTATCAAGAAACTTATGCTATGTAACACTCTGATGCTCATACAAAATTTTGTTGGCAGAAAGTAGAAGTTTTGTGAGGTTATATTAGAATACCAAATTAGGTCAGTTAAAGACTTAATACAGAACCTGCTGGAAGGTAAGATGATGTCATAGCGTGCTAATATGTATATATGATTACTGGAGTGGAAAATGAATTCATGCCAGTAGGGTGTGGGACACTGTTTTATAATGCATGACATTAACCATAGTTTTAGGCTTCCTGAGCAAATGAATATACTATGAGCAGACTTGTGTTTCAAGGGTGGGATTTCACTGGCTCATGTCCATAGGCACATCCAAAAATCTATCCCCACCACCCCCTTTTTTTGCAAATGTTTTTGGGTCTGAGTGGAAAAAGATGGTACGTATTTAGGTATGTGCCACTAAAACAATGACTCCATTTTTTCATAATTGTTTGTAATGAGTCTTTAATGGCAAAGCAGTCACGGTGACCCTAAATGATTTTTACAATTAAAACATCCATGAACGGTTAACATAATTAGCTGTGGAACATGTGTGAGCTTTAGACGTATTACCAATTCTACAGCAATCACACCAATTCCAAGGTACTGCAAGCTAAATACTTTAACTTCAATAATACACATAATCCTGCAAAATCATATCAATATGATCCTCACCTCTCGAAATTCAAATTCAAAATGACGCAGCTGTAAACACTGTTCAAGTTTCTGCTGATGTTTAGACCAAAACTCATCAAAAGCAGCTTCAGTTTCATTTAACTGCATGAGTAGCCTACATAGTGTAGATTAGATTAAAAGAAAACAAAAACAACAACAAATATTTTAGAAAGATTATTATCAATAAAAACAAAATACATACAGATCATAATTTATCTGGATAAACCACACAATACACTTAAAGAGACACTGCATCTCATTTAAGTGGTTATGGAACCTGGGGTGCAGTCGTGCTGTTCAGTGCTAATTTGCTTTTGGTTGGTTCGACACTGATTGAGCGTCCCTGTCCATCTGCACCCCTACCTAATCTGGTTCTCAGGCAAAAGAAGGATGAGTGGCAATGACAGTCTGAGAATGGTTAGCTAACTCTAGCCGCCCATAGCTGGCAATTCTTCCAGAGTCACAGGAATCTGCAGTCTTTTAGTGTTAAACCATTTACAAACAATTTAGCACAGAACAGTGAGATGGTGTCAGGGGATTCCAGGTACTATAAGCACTTCAGTGAGATTAAGTGGCTTTAATGCCTAGAGTGACACTTTATTTATAATTGATGTCTTACATTACATAAGATAGTATGTTGAGGGAATATTAAAAAAACCCTTCCAATACAAAAAGGCTATATAACAATAAATGTAGTGTTTGGTAGTCTGCTGAGATACAACAACAATAGCATAAAATGGTTAAAGAAAAACAAACAAAAAACAAGTTTACATCTGGCTCTAGCAAATATTTATTGGACATATTTCAATTTTAAACCCAGAAGATAATACGGTCTATTGTGACACTGGCAATGCTGGACATTACTGTATGTGGATGTGATTTAGGCATGTAGTGAAAGCCCAGCGTTTAAGCAGCCCTTTGTTCATGAGCCTGCCCATTCTGACCTATCCACAGTAGTCCGGTTGTCCAGCTGGTCCTGATTCATCCTGTACTCCGGGTTCTCTTTAACTGGTTCCATAATTCTCTCCAATAAATCACGCCCTTGCTTTAGGGCAAGCCTCAGGTCATCCTACAAACATACAAAAACAGCATCATCACTATTATCCAGAAAGTCGCAATAACTGTTAATAAACAGTTCTTTCCTTTTTTTCTGTTTCTAATCCTATAGAACACTCACTAGATTTACAGTTTTCTAAGAAAGGGAACTGCAATAAGAACAGTAATATGTTAAAAGGGATATTGAAATCATTATGCTTTTTTGTGAAATAAAGAAAAATAACACCACGCTTCCAACAATCATATAAGCAATTATATAATAAAGTTTACATGTTTCAACATCAAAGATACCAAATATGTAGTTCTCTAGCTGTGGGTGGGCTACAACTCCTATTTTGCCAAGTATCCATAGGTCAGCCATTTATTTTATTCCTAATTAAACTAAGAATAGCATAAGGACTACTCTACAAATCACTAGATCACCATGTCCCTTAAAACACTATGAAAACAATTAAGACACATCTAGCCTTCTTACCTTCATTTTGTCTTTCTTTTCCGTATGTGCAGCTAGAAGGGTATTCGTGGATGGCACATCATTTGGTAGCTCTGTTTCAGCCAGCTCGGTCCCAAAGGACTGTAGAATTTGTGCAGTTTGCTTCACCATCAAGGCAAAATTTTCAATAGCCTATTGAAATAAAACTGCAGTTAATACTGCATATGTTTCATGTCTACAATTCTAAGCAGTACACACCTACAAAAATAAAATAAAAAATATGCACCGAAACACAAATATTTCCATTAATTTAAGATGCAGCATTGGTAACGACAGGACATGTTCATCTTTTTTTTTTACAACAAATTAGCTTTAAATCTTCCAGCCTTTTGCTTCTTTGTTCATTCTGATATAGAAAAGAGGATGCAAGCACAACTCCCTCCACTGATGTAACAAAAATACCCCTCTTAAATTTACTATACATCATAAAAATGAGTAAGGTCCTCAGAGAATGTTACATCATCCACATCAGCCGGCCCATGTACAAGTTAACAGCTTACAGGCAAAGGATTGCAATGATCAGCACTGCACAACCACTCACCGTGCGATGTAAAAGCCAGCTCTTATGACAGTAGTCCAATGTGCCACCAAACTCTTGGGTCAGCTGTGTCTTGTCAATGTAGTTGTGTAATTCTGATGCTGAATTCAGCATAATGATCTGGAAGAAACAACATTATTAATTTTAATATAAGTGTGATATAAATGCTGCAAACTACCTGCACTAAAGTTTAGATGACCATTGTGGGAAACATATGATGTGCCAAAGCTAGTCATCACTACTGTATACTAAATTCAAGAAATAAATTTTATACATAATGACATGTATACATACACAAACTCAAAAATCATATGGATATCTTTCTGCTAAGGTGGAGAAAAAAACTAAATAGTTGCTGTAAGTAAAACGTATAAAACTGACCCTTATGCTGTAACAAGTATTTGATATACAAAACAATATTGCCAGAGAGAAGAGAGCCTGCTCAAATAAGCGTACATTCTAGGATAGGGGTAGGCAACCTTTGGTACTCCAGATGTTGTGGACTACAACGCTCTTACACCCATAATGCTGGCAAAGCATCATGGGAGGTGTAGTCCGAAACATCTGGAGTGCCGAAGGTTGCCTATACCTGTTTTTAGGAGATCTACATTTATAGGACTTCGCTACAGCACTAGGTTTATCCAGTGTCTTTCTGCGGATCACACATGGTAACTGAAGAGGAACTGTAACGTCTCCAAAACTTAAACCATTGAAGAAAACATTAAAAATACCTATAACCTAACCCCGTCATTCATCAGATGCGTTTTTAATTTATGTTGACAATTTAGCAAATAAAATTCATACAAAGCCAGGGCAAACAGTGCAAATGAAGAGAAGAAATATAAGCATTGCTTCATTTATATTCTTCTTTGTATGCTTTCAGGTTCAAGGAAGCTAAGATGGAGACACCCTGTTGCGTGATAAGGAGGTGTGGATTTCTAGGTTTAACTTTCTTTTTCACTACTCACAAATACATACTTGTTAAATATAGGGATAACTAAACATTACATTAAAAGCCCTACAAGTGACAGTTTGCCTAATCCAGGACCTCAGGGACTGGCAGATCTATGATAAACCTCCAGATAACAGCACTACATGATCTGTTCTGATTTAGTAGGGTGTTACAATATTTCCCTGTAATAACTGCTCCTTTTAACAGAGTATCACCAGTTTGCTTTCTTTTTCAATCAGCTGAACATACATTACACTGGGTCAGTCAGCCTACAGATTAATAGAAATATGTCTTTTGCTGCAGATATAAGATATAAGTTGAACTTAACCTTGTTTGAGACATTCATGCATTGACTTAGGGCAAGTCAATGACTAGAAAAAAAAATGTATAAATGTATTATAGTTTAAAGTAAAGTTATCAAGTGTTATTGCTGTTAAACTTGTAGAAAAGAGGGGAGGGTCATTTAGTGTTAAAAAGAAAAGGTTTTCACCCATTAATATGATGCTTGAGCAGTATGCTTACCGGTACCTTCATTTTAAAGTC